TTCCGTTCTGCAACTTCTATACTATCTCTCTATCGTCGTTGAAAATCGTCTTTGTAGTTCATATACATATTCTCTTCTTTCAAAGGCACGTTTGGCATGAACTGTTTCGTTTATGCTTTATCGTATATATTGGCATCGTCTAGCAGATCAAGTTCTCTACGTGCAGATTCAAAGGTATTCATAATACGACCATTGACAGTTTTTAAATGTTTAAAGGAAGGTGCTCCTGGAATAACCTTTAACAATAATCTGAGATAATAGCGCTCTTTTTCTTAGTAGCTAACTTCGACTAAAGCGCCAATGGTTTTGCATTCTTGTGTCTTTCTTCTGTTTTTTTTCTGAATTTTTATTTTGCCAAGTGTACGATTAAGCTCGAACCATGCCATCAACGTGGACAGTTTTCTATCCAGTTCTTCAATCCTGTCAAGATCGTCATTCTCTTCAAACATGATGTCTTGTTCATTAGGCAAATAAACTGACAGAACGACAACAGAATGCGATCTATCGCTAAGTACAAATTGGAATAACCTCCATGCTGCTTCGATAGAGCTTACGTACCGATAGTCTTTATACTGACGTACCTCATCCCAATCAATTGCATCTTCTTCATTCGCACTCTGGTTTTGTGCTTGCACCGTAATATAATCAGCACCTTTTTCAATGTATTTGTGTAGGCATACAGTAGTTTAAATAGACCCGCAACACGCGACGTTTATGTGATAATTATAACGACCTGACAAATATTTACTGTGGGGTACAATCCGTCTGTTATCGATTGCCATACCCTCAAAATCGATAGTTCTACTATTGTTTGGTCTTTGATAATCAGGTTGTCGTAGGGGATTATCGCCCAGTAAAATAGTGTTGTCACAAAACTTTTTGGATAGTGTTTACTACAGGTACCATTTACCATACCAAGATTAGCGTTGTTATATATGATTTGGCTGTATAACACAAAAGTTTAACGACAATTTTTTATACCAGATGAGTGACTTTCTCAAAGAGGCATAGTAGCTAGATAGATGGTCTGAAATATCAACTCCTTGCTTTCTTTTATTGTATTCCACCACCGACTTTGGTTTTATTTTGTCATTTCCAGCTCGATTTTTTTCCCATCGTTTCCATGCAAGTGCTTAAAAGCATAACATCGCGAACATCCTTTCACTTGATATCTGTCTCCCAATAATGTTTTTTTTGCTAACACGTGTTCGATCACGTCTTCTGGAAGGCCTATTCGATTCTTCTTTACCATTCCTAAAAGATTTGTTTGCCTCTCGTACAAATATCTCGCAAGATCAATACTTGTATACCAGTTGTCAGTGACAAACAATCTTCCTGCATTCAATAGTTCTTTTGTCAAGTTTACAACTGTAGAACCGAGAACATCTAGGTGATTAACTTAAGCATCCATTTTTCCAAGTAAATCCCATCGGATCACACACTTTGTAAATGTATTAATGCCATATGCTTGGGACTTTAAAGGATTATATTGCCTGAATTACAGGCCTAAAGGGAAGCATTGTCTCATCAATAACATAAACTTCTCCAAGCTGGTACAAGTTTTGGATATTCTCCATAAGAGTCGCGTTCATTTGTATGCTGTATCTTTTGGAGCTTCGAGTTTTGTTGAATATTTTTGTTATCCACAAAATGTAAACAAACAAATATGTTATAACTTATTAGTTATAATTAAATTATAACCTAGTTCTGTGGAGTCTTTTTTTGTACGTTATTACACTGCGGTCGGACTTAAATTAGTGATCAAATGTTACGAGAAATCAAAATTAATTTGAATTAAATATTAACATTTATTTCCAACCAAAGCCGCAACAAAAACTAACAATAAAATAAAATAAAATTACTTACATTACATTATCTATCTCAGTCCTCAGTCGCAAGGCGGTGTTACACTTCTTTGTTAACTTGTCTTTACGATCTCGGTTCATCGACTGACTTCTTCTTTTCTCTTTTTGCGTCCCATCACCCTTTTTTGAACCTTCAACAAAAATTCCCTCAGTTATTACACTAATGTATTACATCATTTTGATGATCAAGTTTTTGCTGAACGTTTATCCGCGGGTGATGGTTTAAAATTTTAGTATGGAAAAAAATAAGTCTGTGAACTAGAATTTACTAATGTGACACCTTCCCTCCTCCGGAAAAAGACACTGGTCCATCAGTGTCAACTTAAATCTAATACGAATACATTCATTGAAATTTTAAAAATATAAGAAATGATAAATAAAAAAAAAGTACATTGTGAATTATCAACCAACATTGTATCAATCTTTGAACAAGCAAAGCTTGGAGTTATCAATAAACAACAGCATAACATTACAGTTTCTGCCAAACCTACTTTCCTACCCCCACCTTTTAAGATCAAGGGTTTTCCTGCTTCATTATCAGTTGTATTGATACCTTCGTAAAATCTTACGTTTCTGTCATATTTATCTATCTTAAAACTGTGCTTATCTAAATCTCTTTGGGTTTTGTCTAATTGTGCTTCAAGTTTTGTTTGCATATTGGGGTCATGTTCTGTAAGATAAGCTTTTTATTAACGTCTTTCATGTTTTAAAGTAAAATTATGAAAAAAACAAGAAATTTTTAAAAAGGAGAGAATTTATTTAGAAAGGTAGGTACAAAACAGAGACATTAATATCGCATATTTTGGCCGCTAACAATAATAACTTCTGCTATCCGTCTTGGTATACTGCGTATTAATGAATCAATTTCATCTTGAGGAATTTCTGCCCATAAAATCAGTAAAAGCTGCGTAAGCTCTTGGACGTTATTGGGAGCTGGCAGATGGTTTTGCAAAGCTCGTCCCATTAAATCCCACACGTGTTCTATGGGATTTAAGTCGGGAGAACGTGGAGGAAGTAGATCATGAAAAATCCCATTGTTTTCTAGTGTATGTAGCACGCTTTGAATGCGATGAGGCATCTGTCCAGTCATGGTCCCTCGACAAATGTTTAGCTCCATACCGCCATCTAAACAAATGTCGGCTCAAACCATAACAGTGCCTCTTCGAAAAGGCACTGCAGGCTGAATAAAATGTTGCCTGTACCTTTTTCCACGCGTATTCGCCTACTATCGCTGTGTAACCCAAAACGGGATTCATCAGCGAATTAATACTGTTCCATTCCACGTTCCAACAACTCTTGTTCTCGTTTTAAACTGAGCACTTGTTTTTAGGAACCTCACCAGCTCTTAATTTTTTTTTATAAAAAGGGATAACGTCATAGGTAAATTTCCAGTTCTCTGTTTTATTTTTTTTGTCTTCTTTCATAATTGCGTCTACTGCTCGCTTCAACAGTTCGTTCAAGGTTGTACCTCTCTGTGTCTTGCGTTTGTAGTTTTGCATGTTATAAAAATGAAAAGGTTTGGGCAAATTTGATATGTTTCAGGAAGTTAATTAGGTACGTTGTCTCCTATCTGGGAGCTGTTGTTATTATTAGCCTCCTTATCATCTATTACTACGCTAACGATAAATGGATTGCTAGTTTGATTTACATTTAAACTTATTGAGTACTATTCCTCTTCTACCTCTATAAATTATTCTACTTTTGGTGATTACGATATACTTTAGCTAAATGCCCTTGTTTATTGTACGTATTGCAGATATCCGGTGTTTATTTAAATTTGGCGTCAGAGCTTGTAGTGATATGAGTAAGTTGTGAACGAAGCACAATTTCTAATACGCCCAGCGAGGTGTCCAATGTTAGATTAATAACTTTCCCTACGATGGCGATGGTTTGTTTACACTCGAACTTTCATAGATAGCTTTGACGTCAAAATTAAAAAAAAACACCAGTTGTAACTGCTGTACTCGTACTTACATTTACCCTGATGTTTTTTTCTTCATTGTCTGCACCCTCTGGTTATGTTGCCTTCTCTTGTGCTTGTGACACTCTCTGTTCTTGTTTTTTTTAGCCATTTATTCTCGTTGTTGATGCCGCCTTTGCTGGACACTTTATGCACCTCTGTCTCAAGAATTGATTCTTTTTTCTGAGCGACTGCCACCAATTTTGCTACATCTTAAAATACTGCTTCTTTACATATTCGATCCAGGATTTGGCCCTTTCGCAATCTTACCTCTAATTTGTCTATTAAAACGTTTGACAATTGTACTCCAAAGTTGGAATTTATTGAAGCGCTTCTGATTCGTGAATACCACCCAACTGATTAGTTTGAAGGTAGTGCCGTCACGTTTTCAACAACAAACCTTACCGGACAAATTTGTTCTAATGCTGTTTAGGCATAAGCAACAACTTTGAGTTGCCAGCTAGCACAGGGCAAACTCACTGGTAGAGTATCTAGATAGTGAGAATAAGCCATTAAATTGTATTTTAATGTTTTACTACCTACGTACTGCGGGGGTTTGAGCCCCGGACTTACGACGTAAGACGTCGGCTATGTAATAATGGCGGAGTGTGCTTAATGCTAATATATATTTATGTCAGAAATACTGCGCAAACACTCCGCCCAACAAATGTTAAACTAAAAATAATAAAAAAAATCTAAATAATTAAAATAAATTTTGCTTTGTAAGTCGTGAAGGACAATGTATGCGTGAGGACGAGTGCATGTTGAATGTGTAGTAAGTGTCAATACTGTGCTCCCATTCCCGTCCTTCAGGTCAGCACCCACTGGTGACTGCCTAGTAGCGTCTTCCAACTAGCTCCACGCATGAAAGGACGGCCAATCTCCCCACCATCCATCGACGCCACTACCAAAGTTGAGGTCACAGTTGAGCACTTAGTTGCCATTCTTTGTTCCCTGCTAGTAATGGGACGAGGACCGCCGACGTTGCCCGCGAGGAACCACGTGGAGTTGACTCCCGTGACCTCAAACGGATCGCTGCCGCTTGGAAAAATTATCCAACTACGACCAAAACCCCCTTTCCAGGGAAAGGGGGAGTCAATAAAATAAATAAATAGTTAAAACTTTAAAATTATATAAATAAACTCTAGTTAAAATATGTATGCAAAAAGACATACCTAGTAAAAAGGGACTTCACGACACACAAGTCGCAGTTGGAAGTACATGCACACTTTAAAAAAACATAAATTATAAAACCCCGGCCTCCTGGAATGGTACGTCACCTACCCTAACTCCATGAAGGTGTGGTACAGTTCGATGGAGGACCGGACGGCTATCAGCAACAGGGTGAGCGCTGTTTTTCTGTCTTTAATTCCTAAAGATTTTAGGTCCCCCATTGTAGATTTGGGCATTCCCCGCCGAGACCTAATGGCTATTGGAACCACTTTATCCTCGGATGCACCAAATCTTTCTTTCAGCTGCGGTAATAATCTGGTATATTTGTTGATTTTTTCCTGCCTACCGTTTTCTAAGTAGTCCCTATCCTCGTGGCGGACAGTTACATCGACCACAAGGACCCTGTCCCTGGTTTGGACGACCAGGTCAGGTTTGAGAACTACTCCCCTGTCTGTAAGGTTCTTCCAATAATACCGCAGCATTGTCAATCTCAACGATTCTTTTTTCGACCTGTTTGACTATGTCATTGTGCCTTTTTATTCCTTGAGGTTTAGTGTATTCACACTGACCAAGTACGTGGGCTAGCGTCTCGGGCAGCAGACGACATTTACGGCACATCAGGTCGTGCTGAGGAACTGCTTGCACAAGTGTTGCTTCTCATTTTTAGTGCCGTGAGATATCGGCATGGTTTGAGCAGATTTGGATTTTACAACCAGCATTTGCCAATGGGATCGTCAGCCAGCGATTTAGCCGCCTTTCCCTGGGTTTTGCTGGCCCCCCAGCTTCGGAGATCTTGCCTTTTAGCCTCGATTTTCCAGCGATCTATGGTTTTTGTATCGAGGATGGGCCACTTTATGCGGTTCACACAGGCTTGTCGCCTAAGCCGTTCCCGCAGCTCTGTTCCAGCAGCAAGAGTTCGAATGGCAGGGTCAGGGCTTTCTAGAAAGCGCATCCCTGACTTGAGACTAGAGGCTATCGCTGCTGTCACCTCTAGTCTTGGAAAACCTAGTCCACCGTCTCTTTTCCTCGTATAAATCATACCATCAACGGTCGACAACGGCAAATGGAGTATCTCTTTAACGGCGACCCGGAAATCGTCGTCGAGACCTCTTATCGTCGAAGTAGGTGCCCGGCCTCCATGCACTATTCTAAATAAATAGTGCGGGACTAGGTATCCTGAGAGCAATTCAATTTTCTGGTGTGGCTTTAGTGCTAGGCTTTTGACCCGCTTCAACATGCTTCGCACTTCTCTCCTCATCTCCTTGACATCTATGCCGTACCAGGGGGAGATGTTTCGACTACGTGCAAGAGTTCCTGAGTGTCGTTGGGGCTGTTTGCCGTTAGAATCAGGTCATCAACAAACGCCAGCCAGGATATATTGCACTCGTTGATTTTATATCCTGGCATGTTCTCTAATTTTTGGAGTAACGGCTCTAAGACCGCGTTAAAAATAAAGGGAGATAAAGGGTCTCCTTGTTTGACTCCTTTTTTTAGAGAGATTTCAAATGTTTCGCCACCACTATGTATTTTCGTTAGCATATTCTCATCTTTTCATAATCATTTTAGAGGTAAGGGGCGGAATACCCTTTCTGTGCAGTGCTGGCTCGATGGCGTCGTGTGAGATCGTGTCGAACGCCTTCGATGTATCTAGTTGCACTGCTACCAGGCCACTGGTACCAGGCCGTCTTGGCATGTCTCAAGACTTCCGGGAAATGCGGATCCTCTTTCATTATTATTTATGATTAAAAAGTTACTTAGGTTAAAAGTGCATAAATATTTTATATTCAATTTGTAAACTTCGAGTCACGAGTAAAGTTTCTTCTGCTTTAGATTCTTGCAACTGGTGATGAAATATTTTTGATTGCAACTAAATCATTACAACTAGGTTACTTCTTTAAATAACCCTTCCCCTTTTCCACACTTTAAGTTGGATTAATATTATAACTCAAGGTCGTGTATTTGTACTATCTCTTAATAATATTCGTTTATCGTCATATGGACTTAACACTACTTTTTCTTGTCTTATAGAATATAGAGTATATTTTTTGGATATAATAAGACTTTGTGTACTATGGAAGATATCTATATCAAACAAACGTTTTTGTATAATTATCAAACGTAATTTGTTTAATAGAATATTTTGTACATCGTTTTGGTTTTTTTTTGTACAATTTTTTTGCGTTTCATAGTTGGAGCTATTTCATGGATATTATTTTCATCGTTATCTTCTTCATTTTAAATGTCTGAATATATGAATACATTTTAGATCGAAGACCAAAAAATTCAAGCATAATTTTCTATGATTTTCATCTGTCATAAGTCTTGGCCATTTCCTATTTTTAAGTTTAATACCGTATTGGTTATCAGGCTTATAATCAGGAGTATCAAAGCGATGAATATCTTCTTTAATAGGTATGTTTATAGATATCTACAGCTCTAAAATGATAAATTAAACTATCTGTGTCTGTGTAAAGCAATTTTGCATTACCGCCAAATTCATGTTTAATATAATCATAATGAAATTCATAAAGAAATACTTTTGAAATATCTAAAATACAAAAACGAACGTAAATCGACTTATTTAATACAACTTTTAATTTATTCATTTCAACAATTGCCATGTTTTCATCGAATATAACTGAACTATGATAATTTGGTTTTGAAATGAAAACTCGCATGTCGTACCTACCATCCCATCTCGTTACTATTCGAATATCTTTATGTTTACGTACATTTTCCATACATTTATCACAGATGGCGTTAATCATTAATTAAAAAAAATCTTTTTCAAATTCATTTTGTGATTGCTGTCTTAAACGAGTATTTAGATCTATATATTGTTTAAGCCATGGACTCTGCTTGAATGTTAGAACGCGATGTACTTTAGTAATTTTTAAGCCAAGTCTTAAATACATTTTTAAATTGCAAAAGTGGATTGTGTAGTTAGTTTTTGGAAACAATGTTAATAGCAATTTTTGTAATTTGGATTTGGAATTTGGTGGTAAATGTGATAAAGGTAGATCACTATGTATATCATGTAAAGAAAATGGATATTTTAAATTACATTCTATCTTTCACATTCTACTACGAGCTTGTTGGGTGACACCGGTGGGTACTTTGACTACATTGATTCCCTTGGTTTTTGAAGATTCACCGCATTTAGACTTACGCCATTTTGTCGATTTATCTTTGCCAACAAAATATTCTTCAGTGGCTAACTCCTTTTCTTCAGAGTCTTATGAACAGTTTTCTTCTTCTGAAAATTTGCTGTCACTTGAGGATAAATAAGTCTCATGACTACAAAAAATTTTCCATAATTTTTTGTAGCTTTTTTTGCGTACGCGGCCTTCGAGCCAGTACGTGAGATGTCTTAAGACAAATTGTCTATAATTAGCTATGGAGGAAGAATAGGTAGGAAGTAAACCTGGACAACTAATTAATAAAAGTAGCAGCCACCATTAAGAACATTTGTCGTAAATTTTACGATAGCGGCTCGCTCGAGGGTTAACCTCTTAACTCGTAGATAAACAATTTCTTTATCGTCTTGTATAATAAATAACTTTTTGTGTTGTTAATTTTATTTCTTCAAGTTTATCCCAGCTATCAAGATAATTGTATGGAAAAACACCTTTTTTAATTAATAAATTGAATTCTTTTTCTGTATTACAATATTTTTGTGTTATTACTTTTTGTTCAGTCTTTAAATTTGATGACAGTTGATGAAGACCTTTAGACATAAAACGAAACGAATCTATAAATCGGAAAGTGACATTAGTTCCTGCCACAGATTTGGAAAATGATATATATTTTTCTTTATTTATTGGTAGTAATTTAATACTACCCGCAAAAGCTGCTGACAGTTTTTTAATAATAAAATGAGTATCATATCCACTCGTATTATGAAATACAACAGGTATGATATTTGAATCTTGATAATTTAAATTACATCGTTGATGAGCCGGTCCTCTAAATTTTCCCGTTAAATGATAATGATCTCGAACTTTAATTTTATCTGATTCAATAGTTTTATTACAAATGTGACAAATATTGCACTTTTTATATAAACGTTCTTAATCATAGCTTTTCCATGCGTAATTATTTTTAAATTTTATGTTTGGTTAGAATATTTTCTGACATAAAATAATTTAAACAACGTTCACAAATAAATGTTTTATGTCAATGAGTAGATAATTGATTTGATAAAAGACGTCATAAATGTTTAATCCATACAAAGTGGTAGTATATTTTTTTTTTTTTGGTACACGCTCCGCAAAATGATACTTTAGCGAACTCATTTGGGTCCGCAAAATGCTATTTTAGCGGCCTAGTACTTTTTGTCCATTTTAGCGGACTGAACGGTAACTAACTTAGCAACACATTAGAAACATGATTTTATTGCAAAATTAACAATAAATTTACATTGAGAAATGGAAATGAAAATTACAGTTTTTGGCATTTTTAAGACTATTTTCAGAAAAAGAAAGACCTTTTTCAGTTAGGTTGTTCAGATTTGAAGTGATGGATTTGTTTGAAGATTCTACTGACGTCGATGTTGATGCAACCACGTCAACAGAATTCGCCACAGATGAAATTGATGCACCTGATTCTTTTTGTCCCATGATCAAAGCTGCCACTTTCTTTACTGCAGGATGCAAACACCGTAGTGTATACCTTTTCGTCCAGATAGGCCAACATCACATCTTCATTCACGAGAGTCACGCCATTTGCCTGCTTCCAATCACGAAACGAAGCATATTCTTTTTCAAATTGGGCTTTAGACTTCGCCGGAAGTTATTCCGAAACAATTATTTTTGCTTTTTCGGAAATGAACGCCGAAACGTCACATATTTTCAACACAACCGTTTTTTCGATAAACAACTGGTTGCCATAATAACGTCATGACACCTACTACGATTTCACACAGTTTCCACATTTTACGATTCAGAATTCAAATAATTCACATTTTCAGAAGATATTTTGCAGAGCTGTTTCCAAAAAATTATGTATGCACCACGTACGCATAATGTTTTAGGGGACTCATCTCATTAAAGACTCGGCTCCTACGTCGCCTCGTCATTAATTACGATTCGTCCCCTAAAACAACATTTTGCGTACTTGATACATAAAATACTAATTGGTAGCATAAGTAAATTGACTGTAGAAATATTATTCATTATTCTTATTATAATTGCTTAAACGTACTGGAAATATAATTTTTTTTCTCAATGCATTATAATTTTAATAGATAAATTATTCATTATTTTAAATTGCTCAGTAAATCTAATTGTTATTGGAAAATTAATATTATACTTTGAAACATTTTTAAAATTTGGATAAGAAGATGTTCTGTGTGGATTATTTTTTGTAGAAAACAGTGCCGACACAATTGACCAAAGAAAGCAAAATTGATCATTATTCTGTACATTTATTATACAACGTTTTTTTTTTATAAAGTTCGGTACCTCCACAAAACTTGAATTAT